ATTATATTAATTTTAATGTGAAAGTTAATTATAGAAGAGAAGGAAGTTTGATTTAGCTTGCAATTCTTTTCTTCCTAAAAATAAAATAAATAAAATTTTAAGCCAATCTTTTCACTCAAAGAGGTGACGTCCCAGTGGCAAAAGTGATTGAAAATCCACTTTAAGTCTTGTGTTAGAACTCCGGAGGTGACAACTTTAAGGGAAATTCTCCAAAAGATTTAAATTGTTTGGTTGAATGGTTTAACGGTTTGTATCGATCCGAACGGTTCTATCAGTTTTGAACGATTCAATTACTTTATTAGTTTTAAACCTTGACCTGACCCTTTTATTGTACCAGGTACCGGTCGAACTAGTTCAACCGGTCGATCCGGTCTGATTTTTAAAACATTGCACACAAGTAGAACAAAAAGAGGATTACAAACAAAGATAAAAAAACTCAAGTTAAAGCACAAGTTGATAGGTAAAGATATTTAATACAATGTTCAAAAAAACTTATTCCAGATCTATTACTAGTCATATTTATAGTTCTTGAGTCGAAAATAGTCGTTTTTAGCTGTTGGGGGTCATTAAATGCTCTGCAGATCGACTAAATTTGAGTCGCAGACTTGTCAGTAGAGCCGGATCAACTCTAGAGCCAGCTTTGCATAGCCAGCTTTAAATTCTAGGGCCAGCTTTGCAGCCTTCCTACACATTCTATTTTTCTCAAGAATTGGCTACAAAAACGTAAAACCAGCTTTGGAAATTCGACTTTAAAAAGATTAAAGAATCTTTAAATAACTTGATCATCGTGCATTAAATGTGTCATCATAGTCGGTTGCAAAGTTAAAGTTGGCTTTGCCTCCGTTTTCTGTGCATTCCAAACTACAAGTTTACTTTCGCCCGTAAAGCCGACTGCATGTTCTAAAGCCGGCTCTCTGTAGTTTTGTTCACCAGAATCGACTGTAGACTTTTAGAGTCAACTCTCTACGCAATTCACAGGCTTTTTGGTCCAATTTTGTGTAGTCCAAGTTCACTTAATTTTGCAATCTTTTGAAAGTTTAACTACACACTTAGATGAATAAATTAGTTATTCAAATATATTTTGTAATCATCAAAATCAATAAATTAGTTATTCAAATATATTTTGTAATCATCAAAATCATAGGTAAAACACTTTGATTATGACAATTAATATAAATTAATAGAAGAAGGTTGGAGGATACCATATCTTCATAAAGCCACCGTAATGAAAAAAGTTCTGATATGGTATCATCAAGAGCTCTACACTCAACTTTAGTACTAGAGCGAGATGGAATAGTTTATTTCTTGTAATTCTAAGAGATAAGAGAATTACTAAGGAAGAGTTAATTGATTCTTCCATGAATTAGGAAATAATTATAGCAGGTGAGATTTGATTTAATAAAATTAAGGTTAAACCCCCTTTTTGGTCCCTGAACTATTATACGGACCCCCGATTTGGTCTCTAAACTAAAAAAATCCCTGATTTGGTCCCTACTGTTTACCATTTTTACCCCGATTTGGTCCTTCTGTTAAAAACCATTAATTACACTTGTATTTAATCTAACCATTAATTCATGCTATTATTATTGGTGCCTCTAAAAACTAGTATTGACTTCATATGGACAAAGAAAGAATTTTAATTATGGCGTTCCTTCGACAAAAAGGAAAGCAAAATGGAAATCGAGAGAGATGTTGGAATCTGCAAGTTTGAAATACAACAGATCGAGAAAGAAGATATATAATCAAGATAGATCGAATCTATATATCATACAATGCTACTTAATTACTACTTTCGAATCT